AGACTGTGGATGCATGGTTGTAGAATGAGGACATGTGGGGGCTTGCCTAGCGTTTTTGCCACCTGGGGGTGATGTCACTGGTTGCTGGAAGCTCGGCAGGACGCTGTGGCGGGGGGGTGAAAGGGGTTGGGGGCCATGCCGCTTATCAGCTCTATCTGGCGACCCCTCAAGCTCACTGATGTCACTGGCTGCCAGAAGCTTGGCAGGCAGTCAAGTCAGCCAGAGCATCTCGCTCAGCTCCTGGAAACCTGTTATGGCAGTGAGCTGGGTGGGAGGCCGGACAGAGCATCACAGGTTGATAAGAGCTCTTAGCAACCTGGGACACCATGGCTGCCCACCTGAGGCATATAAACTATTATATTAATTTTCCTTAACTGACCCGAATTCTGTGTCTGGCAGTGTAGATACCATACAGAGCAGCAGATCAGAACCATCTGTGCATTGTGGTGTGCTGCATTGCAAAATGGTACATGACTGTTAAAATAGTCATAGTGGTACGGAGTCAACGTGTTAACCTATTCAAAATAAGTGGGCTGCATGTAAGTAAATAAAGGGGCAGGATGCTGGTGACATCACTGATCTTATATGAACACACGGAAATATTTAGTCAATGACATTGACTTATTATGTCTATTAAGGCATGCAGCTGTGAGTTGGGGAAAGCCCTGGCCGCAGCTGATTGGGCTGGCACTGGCAGCTTCCTATCGGGTCCAGACTAACACATTTCTAATGACGAGCTCATCCCTGCTGGTACTATGGCCAGGTATTATTTATATATAAGCTGCAGATTATGCTTTATATATAAGCTGCGGGTAGTTTTTTCTACATTTAGTCCTGCTTGCCCAGAGAAGCAGGAACTGTACAGCTGCTGGTTTTGTATAAGTGATCTCGGCGATGTCGCCAAGATCATTTGTATGCAGCCTGCAGGTCTGTCCCCCCTGCCTCCCCCCCCGCCACAGTTTTTGGGGTCCCCCGCTCTTCTGGGCGACCCGGGATCATGGCAATCACTTCAGGATGGAGAGCGGGGAGCAGAGCGGAGAACGCCCATACTCCGCTCTGCTCTGTCTGAACACTGAGACAGGAACTCTGCACTTGAAGCCTTCCCCTCTCAGCTGTCACAGGAGTTCCAGCACAGTGCTGTGCTGGAACTCCTGTATTGGAGATGACAGGTTCTATAAAGAGAACCTGTCACCTCCAAATGCTATCACGCAGGGCGTTGTTAGCTCACGTGTGATAGCAATAAAGTTAAGCGAAAAAAATAAAAAATAAACATTTTAAATTTTTTTATAAAAAGTAAAAAAGAATAAAATAAATAAAAATGTAAAAAAAATGAGTAAAAAAAGAATAAGAAATAATAACTAAAAAAAGTGCTAAAAAATGATAAAATAAAAAAAATTATAAAAATTTTGAGGAACCCGGCCTCCTTGGGGAGCAGAGAGAGTAGATCCGGCCCTGGGTATCACCTAAACCCCACACCTTCTGCATCAATCAATGGCTACAACACTGCTACAGCTGTACCTAGAACAAGAAACAATTCCCACTTCATAATCTTGTGCTACAGCACCACCTGCTGGAAATATGAATTCATAACAACAGGCCTGACAAGATGCTTTAAAATAAAGCAGAACTGTTGTCATTAATATGTTCAATAAAACAAATAATGAAAAATAAATCCAAATAAACCTTGCTGGAAAAATCTGAGTTCTAGGTACACGTCCTACAGTGATAACTGATGTACTGTGATTTGCACTAGTACAGTACACCAGCAAAATCGCATAGATGGGTACGAAGAGGTTAAAGACAGATAGGTGACTCACTTCATGTAATTCTAAGATATTTACCTGTCCTATGCAATGTGTATGGCCACACCTTTTTTTTATTTGTATAAGTAAAATGGAATGATTTGTTTCATATGAGAAGCACAGTGGACCTTGCTGGTGGGAGCAGAGTAGTGAAATCCTGCACTGATGATGGGATTGCATAGATATATTATCCTTGCTGTGTGTTGTGCCATTGAAGAGCTGCACGTCATTCAATAATGGTATGGGGACAAATGTTATTTATTTAAAGGTTAATACTAGGGATGCACCGATATATTTGCCGAAAATGGCACTTTTGGCGAAATGCCGAAAGTGCCATTTTTTGGCCGATATAGCGGTGCATCCGTGATTTCTCTCCTCCCCGCTGGGCGCTGCTCTGTATCCCAGCGGGGAGGAGAAACTGTCACAGGCTGCCGAGCGCTGCAGGAGAGCGCTGTGAGCGGCCGGCGCCTCTCCTCCCCGCACCGCTCAACCTCCTGTCAGAGATCAAAAGAGAGTGGTGTCACAGGAGGCTGAGCTCTCCTCCCTGCTCTGCTGGCTCTGTCTCCTGTGACAGCGTGTCAGGGAGGAGAGCGAGAACACTCAGGATCAGTGATCGCTGAGTGTTTGTACATAATTAAGGACAGGGTATGGTTACTATCTCCTCAATTATGAATGAATGGGAGTGATCTACATCCCTTCCTGTTCATTCATGATTGGGGTTATAGTAAACATACTCTGTCCTCAAGTTATGAATGAACAGGAACATTCAGTATAGAGAATTCCTGTTCATTTATAACAGGGGCTGCAGAAAAAAGAGATTGAGGACTCTGTGTCCTCCATCTCTTTTTCTATTTTAACAGGGAAATATCAGGGGTTTAGACCCCGAATATTTCCCCAAAGCCCCTAAAAGTAAAGTAAAAAATAAAAATATTTAATAATAATGAATAAATAAATACAAATAAAATATAAAAACATGTAAAAGTTTATAAAAAAATCAATTCAAATAAAATATTTTTAAAAATTTGAAAAAGTTAGAACAAAAAACATTTTTGCTTTTGGTTTCGGACTGACATTTGTTTTCCTTTCGGTTTTGAAATTTTTATTTCGGTGCACCTCTAGTTAATACCATATTTCATGTTAGGCCCCATTCACATGTAGCGACATACCTGTGCAGCGGCCGGGATAGCGCGACTTTCGGGGCGACGTTCCAGCGACGGTAGCGCGACCTTCTCCGTCGGGCTCCATAGAAAAAAGCAAAATCGCGCAAAATCCGCCGAAAAAAGGGTCCTGTAGAAGCGACTTGCGACCGCGACGAGCGACGCGCGACATGGAGCTAAGACAGCTCTATTGACTATCATTAGCCGGCGACTTCTCGTGATATCGCGCGGCAAAAATGCGCGATATCGCGGCGGAAATCATGCGATAAGTCGCTACATGTGAATGGGGCCTTATACCCATATCAAGGGTTCAGGGTGTGACATTAAATAGTGTCACATCTCCAGCTAACACCTTACTAGAATCTAGTTCTACTCCTTGCAGGCTCTTGTCAGTTTTTGAATTGAGCCACACACAACATACAGCCACGTCATCCATTCCCAGATCCTCTGACAGGTTCTGCAAATGGGGAAACTACAGGTCCCATCTGCCACCAGAGCAGAGAGCCTCAAAGATCTCAATGAGGTAGAATTCCTATGACTGGACTGGAGTGTGTTTTTTGGTGGATTCGTGTACCATCGCTTTACCTTTTTTATTCCCCCACATTTGTCATCCATTTAAATGAGAAAAAAAACACATCAAAATGTATGCCAGCACACATTAGGATTACAAATGTGTTGAGCGTTGTGAATGCATCTCGCAATACACTTTGTATTGAATATCAACACACATCATAACATTGATGCGTTGCGTGGCATATCGATGTGCACAATAATGTGCGCTGACATGTGTTTTAACGCATGCATCGAGGTCTGTTCTTAGTACAAGTACTTGTCAAAATGCCCTGTTTTTTCTGCCCTCACCCTGCAGCGCCCTCAGGCGGCCGCCTGACTTGCCTTGCGGTAGCGCCGGGCCTGTCTGTTCTGATGTACTTGCTTTGATTTCAATAGAAAACTCATCAAGCAAATGGCCCATTTACACTGTTGTGTTTTAACACACACCTTGCAGGGTGCTAAAACACAGGTGGCTTGGTTCCTCATAATAAAAATACTGCCTATTCCCATCTCAGCGCTACAACGCAGAGTGTTATGAAAAATACACTTTTTTTCTGTGTTTTAGTGCTTCGGGAGGCTCATAGAAGTCAATGGGAACACATAAAAAATGCATATAACATGCGTTTCAATGCACTGCCAACAGGTATTAACAAGCCTTGGTCAGCGGCTGGTAACTATGCACTCCAAATCTTCAATTCAAAAACATATTGGAAACACATGTCAACACCCAAGGGAAATGCATACGGATAACATACCTGCTCAATGCTAAAAAAAAAACCCCGGGACCTGCATAGCTCTAAGCCAGCATTCTGTGACCGCGCACTTTGATGCATGTTGACAGAAACGTGGCAAATGTGCATGAATGGCAAGCTTGCGTTGCCATTCATTTTTAATAGCACCCAGGAAGAAGCTCTTTTTTTCATGAAAAAGTACACAAACACAGAAGCAAGAAATGCGGAACGTGTGTCGCAAAATCTGGTACATGAGCTGCTTTGCTGTGTTTGTAACGCGCTCAGATTAAAGTCCACGAACTTCAGATACAGGCCTTATTGAACTCAATAACGATACAAGGCAAATGCATCACACGAATGCGCACAAACACACACAAATGTTACGTGCGTTCACAGAAGTAAACACGCACGAATGTTACGTGCGTTCACAGAAGTAAATCTGCTACTACATAATCAAATTGCCTTTAACCAGAGTCTCAGGACTGATAGGTTTAGCTTTATCTTTGCAGCAGAATGGCCGGATGGATATTTTATGTGGGCGGCCAGTCACTAAGCAATGTCACTGCTCTTAAGGATGTTCATTCCTCATAGAAATGATTCGGAGCAGCAAGAATAACAATGTCACATCTAATTCTACTCTTCTCACTCTTCCCCCCAAGCTTTGCTAGTCAGCTGGTTGCAGTAGTTTTGTCAACCCAGCTTGCCGTAGAATGCTTTGCCTGGTTGCTAGGTAACATGCTCTGGTGAATCTGGCCTGTGTGCTGTTGTCGAGCCTGCTGTAAATTGTCACACAGAGTGTATGGTATGACTGGTCTGATTGTGGTATTTGCTCAGGTCGGACACAGGAGTGACAGCTGGCCGTCATGTTCCGGTGGCTCCTGGGCAGTAAAGAACCGCAGGGTGGAGTGGAGGTAAGGAGCCTGACAACCGCCAGCTGCTGAGGAACCACAAGTCACAGAATGCTTTCATAATCTTTTTCAGCTAGAGTCGTGCCAGCCTTGAATTAATGAGGAACTACATGTCCCTGCAAATGGCCTGCTGAGCCTATGAGGCCTAAAGCCAGAGTTAAACATCTGTGCACTGTTTATGTCTGTGACCCCTGTGAGGGGGGGATGGGGGTGTCACAGGGACAGGAAGGCACAGGCAGCAATAAAAACTTCAGTTCTAAACCTGTTGGACAGATTTCCCATCACTTCCTGTCCTGTGTGTCATAAACAATTGCCCTTTTTATTGGTTTATGAAATATTTGTTTCACTTTATTTATTTTCACCTCTTTGCATATGAGTGCTGCTAATCTTCTCCAGCCTTCTTTCAGCCAATTCCTTTCTACATGCACTCCAGTGTCTGTTGCTCATCATTACTCTGAACTAAGAGATGGACCTGGTCTTGGTACGAACCCATTTTCCCTAAATTCGCCAAAGCCTGCTTAAAATGGTGACCGGTACTCCCACCTCCCGGGCCAGTCAGGGGGGTGGCCACAGTGCGGCGGGGGAATTCCCAGCCCTTTTGTGACGTATGCTGCAGGACGGGGAATGTGCCTCTATGATTGGACCAGGGGGGGGCAGTCACAGTTTTGAGCGGGCATGGGCGAACTCAGGAGAAGGCTCATCACTACTATGGACCAGCTCTTTAAAGGGTTTGTGCTTTTAATCCGATTAATCGAACTTAATAATCGGCTAACTAATCGATTATGAAAATAATCGTTAGCTGCAGCCCTAATATTAAGGAAAAATTACTGAAAATTTTGATTTTTTTTTTTACATTATGTTATAATAAACATTTATACTTACCCAATTTTTAGGCAACGCTTTAAAAGCTTTTACCGCTCATCAGTTTAGTGTTATCAGTGAATAATGGAACTAGAATTATTGCTCTCCCTGCGACGTTCGTGGCAATATATAACATGTCCGGCGTAATGGGTGCAATAGTCGTTTTCGCACGTATGCGCACCCGACGCATGTGTGCACGCGTGTATGTAAGGGTGGGGACTTTTTTAAAAAAATGGTGTTTTTTTTTTTCAATTCTTTTTCATGTGTGACTTTAATTATTTTTTTCCTATTTTTTTTGTTTACTTAACTTTATTGCTATCACATACGGGCTAAGAAACTCCCCTATGTGATAGCAAAGATATGTGACAGGTCCTCTTTATGGAGACATCAGGGGTCTCCAAGACCCCTAATGTCACCTAGGACCCCCCTGAAGAAGCTGATGAGGCACAGATCTGCTTCATCAGCTTCTCTCCAGCGTCTGAAGCTGGAGAGTGACACGAGAATGCGGAAGTGACGTAATATACTTGTGTCTTGTTCTGGCACTTCCTGTTATTGTATCGGGTAGGGATGCACCGATGCCTATAGCAGTATCGGTACCGAGTATTTTGGCGACAACTCGTGCTTGCACAAATGCTCTGATACCCCTGATGCTGAATTTTTGGTCAGAGGGCGATCTCTGCTGACCAGCATTGCCGCAAGGGAACATAAAACCAGCTTTCTGGCCAATCAGGCTCCATGCTGTTTGGCCAGCTCGATGTTGATTTGCCGGGAAGCCAGCTTCCTGGCCAATCAACGTGGAGCCGCCTTCCCTGGCAATCAAGAAGCCGGGTACCGGGTAATGACACGCCGCCCGGCTTCCTGATTGCCGGGAAGCAGAAGTACGAGTATCGAAAGATAAATATCGGTACTCGTACTCGTACTCGTTTGCGGAAAAACCGGTATCAGTGCATCCCTAATATTGGGTGACCACGCTTTGTGCTCCTGAGTTGTCAGCCTGTCACATGGACTTTGATGGAGACTACTAGCTGCCCTGCCAGGGCACATTACGCAGGCTTGGTCCACTGTTGTCATAATGGCGAATCCCACCCTGAGCAAAGCCATATGCCATCTCTAGAATAAATGTATATAGTCATGAAGTGGCAGCAAAGAGGCTGTGGAAGATCTGAGCAGTTGCTTTAGAAAACAACAAAATGTCATTCAGTTAGGCTCTATTTTAAAATTTATTTGAGAGTTTACTGATTGAGTTTAGATTTGTTTTACTGCTGTTAGCCTTTCATCATTACTGATATGCTGGTGCAGTGATAAAGGGGATGCAATGTTTACCTTATTATAACACTGGGGCTGACCATGTTGATAATACCAGATGGACCTTTTCATTTTGTAGTTCACTCAAGTCTGCTCAAAGCTCTGGGCGCCACCCCCTCCTCTTGACCCAATCTATTGCGGAGAGGTGCACTCCCCACCCTGCAGCTATACGTTACAAAGGGCCAGGGAATGCCCCAAATGCCACCGCAAATTGGGTTTGGAGGAGGTGGTGGCGGTCAGAGGTTTGAACGGGCTGGGGCAACTCAGGCAAACTGGGTTCACACCAAGCCCAGCCTCATCTCTACTCAGGACCAATAGGAAAGACTGCAGTGACATTTGCTTAAATGCTTGCTTTGTATTTAACGCATGTGGAGAGGATGTTTGTTTTTTCCTCTCAATGACACTGAAGTTTCACTTTAAAAGAGAATTATGGGGTAAGTGTTTTTCCCCATAGTTCTCTTTAGGGTCACGGGAGGACATATACTAACCTCCTCCCGTGATCCAAAGCCCAGTATATCGCGAGCTGTTGCCCGCGATATACTGAGGGTGCCGCAGCCGGGAAGGAAACCGACAATACTGTCTGGATCCACCCAGCTGTGTGAGTGACAGCTGGCTCTGCTGTGCCCGCCCCCTTCCCCGTTCGTTCCTCCAGTCAGTGCTGGAGAGAGGAGAGGGAATCCCTGCGTGGAGCGGTGACTGAAAATCACTCCTCACTGCAGGGAGGTGATCGGGATGTGTTCGCTCACTTCCCGATCAATGGAGCCGACGTGTGACAGCTTCTTTGTCACAGGTCGCCTCTAACTATGAGGTAGAGTGGAAATCACTCACCTCATAGTTCTCCTTTAATTATTGTAACAAGCCCAGTATTTATTTATTTTTGCAGCATTTTCTCAGTTAATTGCCCGTTTTAGTGTTTTTCCTCTGCTTAATTTGTTACCCAGTGTGGTAACAACACTTCCTATAGCACAGACACAACAGAAAGTGAGAGGAAATCTCTGCAAAGTGAATGGAAATCCCCTCTTCTATAGTTCCCACTGGAAAATGTATTCCTATTGATTTCTGATCTTTGCATGTTGTGGATGCTGTAAACTTTGTAATTTCACATTTTTTTATTCTTTGTACTAAAATCAGTGTAATGCTCCATTGCAGAAAACCACAGTGTTGAACATTGGAGAAGAGCAGATCCAGAATCCATACACCGAGCTTTCAGCTTTAAAAAGTCACAATGATATAGTGCGTTTCCTTGTACAAGTGGATGAAAACAGGTAAGAAATACTCATGAGGTTGAAGGCCGATTTGTTATTATACTGTTTACAAGGCCACAGGTTTATAGGTACACACCAACTGAAGCTGAGATGTATACAAGGAACTTTTCTTGTTGAGAAGGTCAGTTTTCCATCCAGACATCAGTCTACCTCGCTCCCTATTGTCTCTAATCTGATCCTGGAATGCACCTGCTGATGCTGATGGAACAGAAAGCACGATAATAAAATGTTTCTAAAGGTGCTCATACACCCTACAAATATCGGCCGATTTTCATATGCGATGGCGTTTTCGTACGATATTCGTGAGGTTGATGGGCAGTGTACAACCGTAAATACTGTACAACGTAAATACTGTACAATCGATCAACTTTTGACTAACCAGCAGGTTAGAAAACTTCAGTCGATCATAGGATTTTCGCAAGGTTGGTGGCGTTTCCGTACGTCAAAATTCGTACGATTTACACTGCACATGCGCAGACAAAAATACGTGCTTCCTGCAACAACAGTCGCATTCAAATCTTGTAGGTAAGTGTCAATCTGATTGGCACGGACATTCATATCATACAAGTATTTGAATGACTAATTTTATGCAGCACATAAAATTCAAAGTTAGTATTTCTGCCAGGACTCTCTTCCGGCACTCACTGCTGAATGAAATAGAAAATGAAATTGTGTATAGTGCCTGACACGTCTCCTTATATATCTTCTATTTCTTTTATACATTTTGTGTATGTATTCATGTTATTAGTTCTCCCAATTTTGTAGGATTGAAATGTACTATTTACTAGACATGTGCACTGCCAAAAAATGTGTTTAGTTTCGTTTCGTTTTAAATTCGGATTTGTGTTATTTCGTTTTTCATCATGCTGACTGGTGAAATTTTTGACTGACTGGTGAGACACCGCCAAATTTTTCAAGCCCTGGAAATTCGGATTCGTTTGCATTCGTTATGTCTGTAATTCGGAATTCGGATACATCCGAATTTCCGAAAATTCGTCCGAATTTCGATTCGGAACGAAACGAATGGCACATGTCTACTATTTACACTCTCTGGTGGCACGGGAGGAGAGCCTACTCAGTATGTACACTTTGGTGTTCTCATCCACCTCTCTAAATTGTTTCATGCTTCAAGTGCTTTGATAATATCTTATTGCAAGCTTTGAAAAGGGATTTTCATGTTCTCAATGTAGGCAGGTAGAAAAATAAATCAGTGATTGGAACATTTACCCTGATTGACTTTTAAGATACTAAATGAATCCTGTACAAAACTTTAAAATTGCATCTTTTTAATTCCTCGCTGACGTGCGACTTTGAAGGTCATAATGATCTAGTTCATCTTTAGTATAATTACTCCGCTGATGCAGCAATGATATGAAAAGTGCACCTGTTATTCATTATCACTGAGGCATACATTTGGTGATCTGGGCGATATTAAATCTAAGAATTCATAGGAATTGTTTATTAATATCATATGGTGCCACACAGAAAGGAGGAACAGTGAAGACCCAGCTTCAACTCATACACTTGTGTTTGTACATTTTAGCAACTTTAAAACAGGAGGTCAGGAGAAACTGGGAAATGTGTGAAAAGAAGCCTAAAGCTCCGCCCACTGGCTGGATATATGAATCCAGAATATTCGTATGCACAATTTCATACCAGACGTGAAATAAAATTAAGTTTGACTTTATTTTAGTCCTTCAAGTGATATGAAAGTTAAAGTGCTTTAAGTTATTTCAAATGCTGATTTAATCGCTTACAATTGATGCTGCTTCTTGATGTTTAAAAGTTAGCTTTCTGCAGAATCATCTGGTCCCCTAAGCACTGGCCCTGATATCCTGTGTTATGGTGGCACCTTTCCCTTGCAGGGTCCTATGGAGCCACCCTTGTGTGCTAGTAAGTGTGTGTGACTCCACAGCAAGGCAATCCACTCCCCTCCCCCCCTGTTCCCCTCTTCTCCTTCCTCCCTCCCTCCCATCTCCTTTCTTCATACTATCAGTAGGACAGCAGCTGAAGACTGTGCTTCCCCTTGGATCTTGTATTGGGCAGGAAGTTCAGGGAAGCTGAGCTGAGAGAGTTGGAGCCAGCTGTTTGAAAACATGATGAATGTAGGGTTTGGGCAATGTTTTTAAAGAAATACTTTGCTGGGCAATGTTGAGGTGTATGATCTGAATTCATAATTGAAATATGATTGATAATTTATTTTCTACTTTCATTGATGATGTGTTGGGGTTCCAATATTTTAGGAACTGTCCAAAAATATCCACCAACACTTAATGCCCCATGAACTTTGACTTCTACCTAACAGCATGGAATGTGCAAAAGCCCTTTTAAAGTGGTAATCACAGCAACCTATGAAACCAATTGGTAAGATACTTTGCAAGCCAACTTTAACTGGCTGTTAACATTTTTGGGCAGATTGTGACTTGGCCTACTCATTAATAGCTGAGCAGGCTGAATAGCTGACCTTAGCAGCATCTTCACTTTCCGTGCTGGGATCAGTGTTGGGAGTTTAAGTAAACTGATGTACAGACTGGTATATTTAAAGCTGTTTTGTGCTTTTGTAGACCCCCATGACAGGGTCACTTTAAGGCAGCTCATACATTTTGAATTGGCTACCATCGCACCAAAGTGGACAGAAAAGCATCCCCCGAACCTCTTCTTTTTTTTTTTTTCCTGACATGCGTTCTTACAATGCAATGGTGTGAATTTAGCCTTAAAGTGTGTATAGTTTTCACTTCAAACAATAAAGAGAGATATTCTGTAGGGCTAAATAATCGGTCTCGAAGTTGGCTAGAGTCTCTTTTCTTCTCCCACACTGCTCTGGAAACGACATTTTATGGTTTGATATAGGTAAAAAGAACCGTATGACATTTACGACTTTATGACATTTTTGGTCATGAGGCTCTGTATTTTTTATGTCAATTTGGATATACCATGATCTTAACTAACAGATTAGAGGCTTACTAAAACACATGTGAACATAAGAAATAGATTGTTAGTAAGTTGTGTTTACTTTCAAGTACCCAATCATATGCCAAATCCATTCAGGGAAAAGTGACAGTGTCTACACATAGTCCACCTCCACCAGGTATGTATGCTTAGCCCACCATCCTCTCTTACCACCTCCCCCTGCTGTTGGAACCCCCCCTAACACAACATAGCTTCTAAGTATGTGGGCATACTTCACCTCTGCTATGTAATGGCTCTCGGGCCTGAGCAGCCAATCACCGGGCCCAATACTGTCACATAGGGAAGGGGGCTTGGTGCCACAACATGTCTGAGCTTTGAAACCAGTCAACAACAGAGCTTAGACAGGCGGGATGTAGGCTATGTGCAGACTGTCACTACACTGTCACTTTTCCCTGAATAGTCAAAGTGACAATCTCTCTTACAATTAGACAATGTCTCATTTTACTTACACATGATTAAAATTTACTTTGCCACATAAACATATCTGTTGTATAGTAAACTTTCATATTATTAGCTGAACACCCTTTACTCCCTTAGTAAATCAAACCTACTCAGTCACTTGATCTTTGTTAATTGATTACTTATATTTTTGTACAAATAAATGTAACTTTCTATTACAGGAGTTCATTGTTCAGTTTTATGAATCTGTGATGATTACAGCAGTCAATACATGTTACGACACAGTAACCTATTTGTAAACCTTATCATATGCTTGGCAATAGATTTTAGGAAACATATCCATCTTTCTAAACAGCAAATCCAATAAGAGTCAATTCACCACACTGGGTTATTTGCAGTAACCTTGACAAATGTGGACTTCTTCAACACACACACACACACACACACAAAGAAATGGGCTTTTTTTCCCCCTGTTATTTTCGTTTTCTGAAAACTTCAGATTTAGTGTTGAGAATTGCTGTTTTTCAAAAGAAAAAGCAATTACAAAGGCTTAAAAGATCAATAGAAATGATGCTAATGTCCTAAAGAAAATGCAAAATATTGAGACTTGTGTTCTTTTGGTGCTCACCTGTCAATCCAGCAGCAAACAAGGAAATCAATAGCCCAGGGAGAAGGCATTAGAAGGTGTAGTTACAGCAACAAATGTCTATCATCAGCACAGTTTCTCCTTTTAATAGGAGCAGCAAGGGGGGATATAATAAAAGCAGTCCCATTCCCAGAGGACACCTCGGCTCAGATGAAAAAGAGAATTGAAATGCCTTAGTGATCCTTAACCACTATATCCAATACCTATTTAATCTGGGAAAATTGACCTGCAATAGGGGTCACACATAATGGATTCATAGTAACTAACTGCCCTAAGTGGCTGGAGAACTCAGCAAAAGTATATGCTAAAAATAAAATACAGAAAAGTTCTCTGCAAGGTATTTGGAATATTATTTAAAAGGGAACTCCATCTTATGCAACCTTTCCCAAACCCCCTCCCATGTACCATATAAGAAAATGTTATATATATATATATATCTATAGATCTATAATCTTGATGTGATGATACACCCTAAGGGGAGCCCTGTCCATATCTCTAAGTGATCAAGTGTACTCCTTACAGCCATAGATCTAAGAGTAGGTGGGTGGTATGGTGAAGTGACAGATGGCACCAGCAGGAGAATTGTCCAAACAGTAAGATACACCAGCACAACGTTGTAGAAACGCATAAATACGACACTTATTCACTACCACAGGAAGCAAAAACATATAAAAAGTTATATGCTGGAAGATGCTAATATACCTTGAACTGCCATTTGCAGTAAAATATGATCACCAAAAACAAGGGTCCCCGTTACCATGGTAACCCATCCATAGTGCACCCAACTGGAAGCGGAAGACAACCACAACTAAAAATATGTCAATGGATCTTGCTCTTGCATAGACGCCACAGTGCATGCTCAGGCCCCTGCTCTCATCATTCACCAATCACTGTAGAGGGTAGGAGAAACCGTAGAGAAGGGCAGAAACATAATGGAAAGCAAAGTGGATCACCATGGAGACCAGGAGGCTTAATGTGGAATTATGGGCAAACTCAAATATAACATATGTTATGCTGTCTGTCTATAGCATTATTACAGCAGTCATTGTGTATATGAGTTAACCCTGTAACATATTTTCATTACCTGTTGATCTGGCCAGTAAATCTGTTGTTTCTCAACTTGCGTTAACAGACTGAACTGTCCAACAAAAGGTAAAGACAAATCATTTAACACTGACAGGTGCTTACAATGGTCAGCTTTTGTTTATGTAGCTAAACCTTTTATCCCAATAGGGTAAAAAACTGGTCTGTTACTTCTTAAAAAATGTTAGCTGGAGGATTTATTTCCTTAGTCAGTTATGTGTAAACATCATCTAAATGTACTATCGCATCTAACACCACACCTCTCCACAGATTCACAATGCTGCGATCCAAGAGAGGCTACATCGCAAATCCATTGATACAGTGAAGGAGTAAGTGTAGCCACCCTAGGGCAGGTAGGTTATCTGGCTGGATCACCAGGTGATAGAAAGGAAAAAAGCCCCAAAGCAGTGCAAATAAAGTAAATAAAAAAAACTCAAAAAATGAACGTAAAGCAAAACAAACAACTAAATTAAATAAAAGAGGCACTCCTGCAGCAAACAGTAAATACGAACAAACAAAACAAATGCCATATTACCAATAAATATAAAACATTACATAATCATCATACTTTGCACAACATTACAGTGGAAAAAACTAAACCCTAGATAGAGGCGTATATAAATCGGGGAGGGAACTCTGGCAGTCAACGCATATTCAAAAAGCAACTAAGGGAAAAGGCTGACTTTTTAATCCAAATGGTGAAATCTTATTCAACGTATGTACCCAAAATACCTCTCTCTGCGATAGCAACTGTGCCCGATCGCCCCCACTATGTTGCATGGGCACATGCTTATTAACAGTTCACCTTAAAATGACACTAAACTCAGGAGTTCAACCCTAAAAATGCATTCAAGTACCTTAAAGTGACATTAAAGTCTGTTTTTTTTTTCTTTTTACATTTATCTATAGCTGGCAAGCAGTAGATATATACAAAAACATATAAAAAAGTTACCAAATTGGTAAAAACGTACCTGTGTCTACGCAGCTCGCTCCCGGCTGTAAAACTCAGCTTCTCGAGCGGCCGTGCAGGAGGATGTGTGCGGGCACATGCGCAGTGGATATCACAAGCAGGGAGAGGAGGAGAGCTACTGTGTAAGTCAATGCATGCAGCCGTGAGCGTGCACGCCTGACAGACTCCGTGGGACAGGAAGAGACCGCAGTCTGCAATGGATCAGAGACTGGCACCAGCACTAGAGGGATTGCTGAAAACTACTGTAAAGAAGAAGATGATCGGATCAAGAGGCATCACTTAAGGTAAGTCCTTAAAGGGACATTAAACCCTCAGATTTTTTAACATAAACTACTGTAATGTGCGCCTTACTGTAATGCATGGTTGTTTCCCTTCTCTTTGCTGCTCTTCCTTTTAAATCTGTATCTCTTCTCATGGTGGGCAGAAATTCTGTTTTGCAGCAGACTGCCTTGTCTCAGGAATGGATACATGGTGTCTGTGTGCAGATTCACAACCTGAGCCAGCACTACAGGAAGATGCACTCAGCTGCAAAGGGAAGTTCTCCCCCAGCATAAGAAGAGATAAGAATTTAAAAGTAAGAGCAGCAAAGAGAAGGGAAACTATCATGGATTACAGTAAGGCGCACATTACAGTATTGGTTTATGTTAAAAAAAATCTGAGGGTTTAATGTCACTTTAAGTCCTTAAGTTAATGTCACTTTAACTATTAACAAATCTTATCTGTGTATCACCTGGCTGATGCACCAAGCTCACTCCAGTGATAGACTACAATCTCACAGTTAGTTTACTAGTATGTATTGAGATTGTAGACCATCACGGGAGTGAGCTTGGAGCGGTGGCTACTTTACAACACACACAGAGACCATGGGAAGCATGGTCCCCCAAATGATTTTGTTCTGAGGGAGAGGTTCATAGAAACCCCGAATAATTAATCTATCATCTTGAACTTTATCTCCTGATAATCTGTAGGATTGGAGGATTTCCCCTTCAATCTTTTTCTGGTGACCGCTCAAAATTGAGATTTTCCCTGACTCTTTGTCCTAGTGGTGGTGGTTACCAGGAAATGTATTGAGGATGCATCTCACTTTATAGGCAGCAGGCTTTATAGTTTTTTTTATTGTAAGTTCATGTTCATAGTTACCAATTTAAATCCCATTTGATGACAATCTCTGTATTTTTGAATAGGTTTGCCTCAGCTGGTGACGATGGATCGGTTATGGTTTGGGATGTTCAGGTATTCAGACTTGTGAACTTTATTATTTGACAAGCAAATGTACAGTTGATTGTAGAGTTTCATTGTGTGATTCTTTTCACCCTCTTCCTTGAATGACACTGTAAAACATTTTTTTCTCTGGATTTCTTTTGTGCTTATTTTAAAATTGTTAGCTAGAGAAATCTAGATTGCCAAAGAGCACACATAAATTAGCTAAGGGGCTAAGGGTTCTCCTGAAAAATGGTGAATGAGGAACTTTCCTGTTACCAAGTCTTCCACAACAGAAATGTGTTAGTTTACTTTTCTGTGATTTTTGTAATTTATTTTTGCGGTGTTGCTCTATACATTATAAGCTATGTTCATCACTATGGTAATGAACTTCAGCAGATGATGCACATATTGAAATAAAAATGAGTAAAAAATAAATAAAGAAAAAGACACAGCGCACAGGAGAGAAGATACTATTAAGTTCATAGTAACAACACCTAGAGATTAAACTATGCTACAGATGATTCATACATTATGAAAGTAACACTAAACTCAGTATAAATTCAGTGTAATAATATATAGGACTGATATAATTATATCAAATAAGAATGTTCACTCAGAAGACAGTCCATTCCAAACAGTGAAAAATCAAAAAAAGCTTTTAAAAGTGAAAAATTCTAAATTCATTCCACACCCCATAGAGTGAGAAAAACATATAAATCATGTGTCCAGTGTTTCATTCCGTGATCTCCTCATGTCATAAATCCACTCCCCAATGTGTATGCAAGAGGAAGGAATATGCAGTGAGTAAGGCCTCCAGGAGACCTTACTCACTGCATATTCCTTCTTCTTGCGTCTCTTTAATTCCTGCCAGGCTATCTTGTCCACTGACATCTGCCAATTTACGTGACCCATGTAATATATGGAGGGAGGGGTATACAGGATCCAGGGAGAATGCTGACAAACGGGATTATCCAAGGGGATCTCGAGGAAGGAGGACGCTGAGATTTTTATGACAAGCACGAATTGGCTGTTGCTATACAGCCAATGTGCATACCCATTGGGGAGTGGATTTATGACATGAGGAGATCGCGGAGTGAAACACTGGACACATGATTTATATATTTTTCTCACTCTATGGGGTGTGGAATGAATTTTGAATTTTTCACTTTTAAAAGCTTTTTTTGATTTTTCAATGTTTGGAATGGACTGTCTTCTGAGTGAACATTCGTATTTGATATAATTATATCAGTCCTATATATTATTACACTGAATTTATGCAATTTGAATATTTTCACTGTATTTGCACTATTTTTATATATTATATGTATATGTGTGTGTATATGTGTATGTATAA